TGTGTCTATATATATATATGTATATATATATATATACAACATATATATATATATATATACAACATATATATTATAATATATATATATATATATATATATACATATATATATATATATATATATATATATATAATATATATATATATATATATATATATATATATTTCTCTGTCTCATTCTTTCCCTATCTTTCTCTCATTATAACTCTCTAATGTCAAGAGGACTATCTCTTTCACTCTCTCACTTTACCCCCCCCCATCTCTCTCGCACTACCCCCCCCCTCTCTCTCCTTCATGGTCACGCGCTCCAACTAGCCGAAGTGACCAATCAGGGCGGCGTGCCCACAGCATCGCCGTCGTGCTGACCCTAGGTCATACCCCCTTTGCACTTTCTCCTTGACTCGTACAGTCACTCTCCCCCCCCCCCCCCCCCCCGAGTCACGGCGCTTCTCGGACGCTGCCTCCTCCTCGGGGCCACTACTCCAAGGTCTATATAAGTACCTATATAGACTCAGCACCGCCAACGTGGGGCATACAACTACAAGACCGTGCTGCCTGCAACCTATATATGTGGGTGGGTTTGAGTACGTGCGTGATTGTGTACAAACATGTGTATGGAAAATAATTATCACCTGGTGAGGATTTTTCCCTTGTTGTGCTAGATAACGATTCTGTAAATATGTTTCATTACCATGTGATATTACATATAAATATATCTATATCTATCTATCTATCAATCTATATATATATATATATATATATTATATATATATTATATATATATATTATATAATATAATATACTGCCCTGCTGGCAGGTGCCGGGTACTATATTCTTTGGGTGTCAATTCTTCCGGCCGTGGCGAAGGGGGTGAGGTCGCCGGAATTGCTCGAGGGGGAGAAAGTACTTAGGCTGTGCAAGTAAGGTACGAAGCCAGGAAGTAAGGCAGCTGCTAGGCCTGGGTGCAAGGCAACTCCCATTCGGTAGTGTATATTGTTGACAACCGCTCGGCCACGCAAACGGATCGTCCTCGAGCCGTCTGCAACGTCTTATGCACTGATGGCGCGTCTGGTGGCAAGCTCCCAATAGGCTTCTACAGATGATTGCTGGCGCTCCATGGTCCCTTAGGTCGTCGCGTGTCAGTGTAGCAGCATGGCGGAGGTTCACAGGGACGTGCAACATTCGGTAGCAAGGAGGGTCATATCATCTTCACAGGCTAAAATGTGTGTACCAGGCCAGTAAAAGGGCTATGGAGGAGGGTGATAATATACTTGTTAGTAACCTTACTAAGATGCCAGAAAGTGAGAGTAATAAGAACATTGGTCATGAGAAAGGTAACGTCATATGAGAAGGTGCTAATAGAGTTCTCAAGTGCTATGTCACATTGGCATGGCAACGAATTTTCAGTTCGAAACAAACCTGCAACTCAGTTCACAAACATATACAAATAATCTACCAGTAGCACATTTACTCTCGTTATTCAAATATTTTGTTCACGATAACTGAAGGAATTGAATTACGGTTGGATTATTGTTATAAACAGTGGAATCTAGCTTTATACATCGACTGAAATTTGATGTTAGTGAATGTTGATTAATGAATGTTATTAATCGCCTTCCATATTACATAAATTTCTTTGTTGCAAATAATTGTATTTCCCGGACCCTATTTGTTTAAAAACATTTGAGCAGACCTACGTTCTGTGATTTATTTCAGTGCATTCCGCAGTCCAATTTTTTTGATAGGCTTAAAGTACTTTTACATAAAAACAACATAGCATCCTATCGGAAAAACATACGAAAACATTACGTATTCAATATATTTTCAAGATTTGATACGACCCATGTTTATTTTCTTGGATTTTACATATCTAAGTCCGTGAAAGAAAATAAAACAGCACTCACCGTTACATTATACACCTACTTCATGCTTGCTTGGACTCTTCCTATAAGTACACTGGTATATATGTAAAACTATCAGGATGATTTGATTTGTAGTGGTTCTCTCCCCGAGAAATTTATCTAGTTTCATTTTTGAAGAAATTTAAGAGGCTCGATAAAGACAGCGCCATGTCGGTACGTTTGTTTAGAACTGAAAATTGGTTTCCATGGAAATGTGACGTAATGGCTTGAGGACTCTATTACTTAGGATCTGTTAAGATTAGTAAGTTCAAAAGACTACCATTACATTGCAGAGAGAAATGTTAGTGAGCAAGCAATCGTGAGCGTCTCGGCGCTGTAAAAAAATGTGTGTGGCGGCAGCGTGCAATTCATAGGTAGCTTGGCCTAAGCAAGAAGTAAACATGCGCATCTCAAGCGCAGTAAGACGAAAGGGCGAGTAACAACATTCGGCTGGCGTGGTTCTTTTCATAGTAGATTCAGCGGGCGTCTGGGCATGATTTCGTCGTAGTAAATTCGACGTGCGACTGGGCGCAATTTCTTCATAGTAAACATTCGTAATGGCATGAGCCGGCTTAAAACTAAAATTCGGTGATAATAACT